CAAAACTATGGAAAGCAAACTGCCTGCACTGTATTTGTCTTTTCTTTATAGAATTTACTTTGGGCAGGGTAGTGCAGTTGTGCATAACTGTAAAGCTTTTGTTGATTGAACCTTTTATCTTTTGTCTGTGTTTCTTTATAAAAGTAAGATACTGAGGCAGTTTCAGCAAGAGCATATTTGTAATTTTCAGCATTTTAAATAGATAATTTTGAAGCTTTCATCTGCATTACTCCAGTTTGTTCTCATTATGCTCTCAATTTTAGCAAGGGCACAGGCTTAGTTAGGGAATGACTGATTTAAATCTAGGTAATTTTTATATGTCTTAAGTGTACATAACAGCAGAGTTCTTACTTTTCTCTGTATGTGGTTCTTGGTGCCAAGAAACTCTAAAATTAAAAATTCCTCTCTACCTGAAATAGTAATATTTTTTTTCTAATTATGTTCAAGTAATTTCTTTGAGACATTGCATCTGTTTTTGCATCTTCTTGACCTTCACAGCTCAGATTTAGTAGAAAGCTCTCTTTCTAAAGCTGCTGCTGTCTATATATAAATATGGAACAATTACTTTCGAGTCTCCTGGTGGCTGTGATTAAGTAGAATATTAGCATGCAATTATGAGGTTTGGTTGAGCTTTGTCTGGGTCTTAGTATCAAATTATCTCCAAGATCTGTAGACTAAACCAGATTTTTTAATTTATCTGAAATTAAAATAGCCATTTAAGTCCTTGGGTGAAATTGTTATTCTCTAACTTGAAAGGCATGACCAATGATTAATATTTATAATTTTTAGTAATGGAAAGCTCTACAGTTTAATGATTTGGTAATTTTAAGTAAGGTGGATGGCAATAGTTAACATGAATCCTGGGTATTAGGGAAAAAAAGAACAGTTAAAGTACTTTTTATTGTGTGGTGGTTTCAGAATGTGCCAATGGGATTCATTTTGGGTCAAATGAACCAGAAGTTGTGCCCCAGCAGCACCTAGTGTGCTCAGTCACTGGGAGATGCTCAGCTGTGTGTGGGAGGTCAGTCCTTCTCAGCCTTGCTACTTGCTAATGGCAGTATTGGCTGGGAACATGCAGTGACCATTCCTCTTACTCTCAATAATAAAATAAAATCAAATCCTCAAATCCAGCAAGTTGGGCAGATGCTTCTAGTCAGTGTTCTACAGAGCACTGAAACTGGGCAGCAGCCAAAACAATGTGCAGCTCTTGGTGGAGGGAGATCTAAAACCAGAGGCTTGGATACAGGCAATTCTTTGTGCCTTGTGCAATTGAAAGTGGAAGAGTAATTTGTTCTTTCAGCATTCAGGTGGGGAGTGGTGAGTGAGGAAGCGATCACAGCCTGAGATCAAAGCTGTGCTCCAGCATAAACCTTGAATAAACCCAGTGCCATTTCACACTTCCCACTTCTGCTGATCAGAATAGTTCTCCTTGATCACATATGTAAAAAGATGTAGCATGGAAGACCTTATTTTTTCAGTTTCTGACTAACAAATTAGATCTCCTAATCCACTAGAAAGATTTTCAAACACTGATCTGTTTCCAAATTTTACATTTTTGTTTTTGTCAGTAGGTAATACATTCTTTCTTGCTACATGACATATTAATGTCAATGAATTTTATGTAGTGATTAGTATTATATCTGCTTTGGCTACATTATCACCTTTTACTGTCTTTATATGCTTAAGATCTCAAAAGCTGGTTTAAAATGCCTGCTTTATATCTTAAGTGTACTTGTAACTTGACACATTTAATTTAAAGCTATTGAGATTAAACCGGCCATTAAACAGACCTAAAACACCAGCATGAAATGTAATTGTTTTCTGAAACTTGCACTTATAGTCTTTACTTTAAAATATGAATTTATATCAGATTAGCTAAGTCATTCAGAGATGATCTCAAATACACTATAAACCCACAGACTGTTGAAATTTGAATTATGATTAAGCCAAAGTGCCCATAGAAATATAAAGGCCTCATAAGGAGCAGTGGTAGATTCCTCGGTGGGGAATAAAATAGACTAAGTGGAAACATTATATTTTATGTTCAGTACAATGTATGAATGAAAGTGCATTAGGAACATGCAGCTTATTTGAAGGTGCCTGCATCTAGAGGGCAAAAATATTTTTCTGCTGCTTTGGTGTGTGGATATGAAAGAGTTCTTTAAATATTTGAAGATTTGATTTTTTTAAAAATTAACTTCTCAGTTTGAGTTCTTTATCAGATGTAATTAATTGGTTTCAACATCAGTTTGCCACGAAAGCTGATAGTGTGTTCTTAGTGTTTGTTTTTTATTTTTAGTTAATTGCTTGGCTGTATTCTGTCTCACTTGACTCATACCAGACAGGTAGCAGTACCTATTGCTGCAGCTGAATGTCAGTTTCCATTGTAACCTCCTGTGTAACCTTACAAAGTATCCACGTTTTACCCTGAATTTTTCCACGCTTGGAAGCCAGATTTTGCTTGCCTGAATCTAGCAAGCATTCCTCTGCTCCTCAAGTGCCTAGCTGCTCATAAGCTTTTCACAAGAAAATGGAATGTGTGTTAGAAACCCCTAGTTTCTCTTGTTATGTTTATCAAATTGTTATTTCAGCTTCAAATATTGGCATGTTTTATATTTAAAGCATAAGACCCATTAATGTGCACAGAGCTTCTATTTTAAATGTTTTAATTTAAAAGATGCGAGATACAAGGAAGGTTATTGCTATGTATCCTACTGACAATTTTTTAATGATAAATTAGGCAATGGTGTGATAGATACAATTAGCTAACAAGTATGATGGAGTAATTTTGGTTGTCTTCTGCCTCTAAATTAGGCAAATCTTCCAAAAATATTGTTATAAATCACTAGCACTTAACAGGATTCTTTTCCAAAGTATTCTACAAATACAAACTTAACAACACACCATTAAGATAGGTCAGTTGGAGTTGTAATTGTTTTACACCTGGCAAAACTGAGGTAGAAATGATAAGTACTTTAACCCAGGCCACTTGAGATTTAGAATGCATATCTCTTATCCATTAGCCCTGTGCTGAAATCATAGGATTACATCACTGCCATATTCCCTCACATAGGATCAATGGATAGCCCAGTGAAACCAGTGGGGAAAGATGCCAGATTATGTCAGCCCCTTCCATGTCTGGGTTAGGTTCACATCAAGGCTTGATCAGCTGCAGCCAGCTCAGGTTCAGCAGGAAGCAGAGCTGGGGACCTCTTCTGGTGGTCTTATGGGGAAACTGTTGTTACCAAATGTAGATTTGTTCTCCGTATTTTATTACTTAATTATGCATAAATAAGGTCAGTTGGCTAAAGTGTAAAAGTGAGATTTCTGCTGCAATAAGCTTTACAGAAATGTATAGTAATGATAATATGGTGTGAATGTGAATTACTCTTATGTAGGCCTGTTGAAAAAATCCTCTTTGTAATCTTGTTCAGTCTTGCATGCTGAAATATCACCTTTACCCTAGTCTAGACATGTTCTTTGCAAGCTATTTCTCGTTTATATGAAGACTGCTTGATTTAAACCAAGTATGTTAATCTGATGCTGTCATGACTGATGGGGTTTGCAGTGTGAGAAGCTGACAGCTCTCAACAGAGTAAGCAGAGGCATTGTAAGCTTCTCCAGACCATCCTGCAAATGACATGGCATCTGCTTTCTATGAGATAAATTGTGGCCTTCAGAAGGTGAACTTACTGCAAGAGAGAAAGTGCAGTAGGTCTTAGCTTCCTTTTCCACCACAAACTGGTTTAAATTATGTTGATTACTTTAGAAATCTCTAGTTAGCTGGCACCTATATTTGGTACAGTTGTAGCCAAGAATCTAGAAACTGGGTGATGGCAACTGCTTGCTTTCATGTGAAATTGCTGTGAAAATGTCAAAATATACCATTTAATTACACTCCTATTTATTAAGTTTATTCATTGGTGAATGTCCAGCAGTAACTTGCACATTTCAGGCTTTTTTTTTCTTCCCTGTAAGGTTTCAACCTTTTGGAAGGTAATGTTCATCTCCTTGCCTTGTCCTCCCTACACAGCTGGACTCAATAATCTGCATTTAAAAGATGATTGCTTATTTTCTCCAGTATGCAATCCAATTGGTTTCTCAGTGTTAAATGCAGAGGGAATAAAGGCAGAAGAGTCTGTGCAGAACATTTGCTGGGTTGCTTGGGACCTCCAGTGCAGTGAGATGGTGCTGGCCCAGCATGTGCAGGGTGTGTTGAGCACACTTCAGGTGTGCTGTGGTTGCTGACCAGGCACAGATCCTCTAAGCAAAAGCTGTTTCTGTCATCAGGGCCCAGGTGTCAGACAGCCCAGCTGGAGGTACCAGCTATGATTCTGACAGAATTAACTCCTCTGTAGCTTGAAATGAACCTTTTTTTCTTTGCCAGTGTGTTCTCAATTGCTCTTCCCCAGCTATGAATAGCATCCTGAACTAATATGGAGCACTGGCTGTGTTCACTCCAGTCATTGCCACTCCCTGTGTCTTTGCAGTAATATCTTCCTGGAAGATAGGAAAGTAATTCATGGTGTCATGGCTTCACAGGTAACCCTGTTGGACTAGATGAGCCCTCAAGGTATCTTCTAAGCTGAGTTAGCCTATGAGTCTGTCTTTGTGTCTTCCTGTAAAAAGAAAGACATTATGTTTAACCAAAAGCCTGCAGTAGCCACTTCTCTAGTGAGGTGTATAAAGAAAAAGAAAGTGTAATATTGCTTTTTGAATGTCTTTGAGCAGTGATGTTTGATAAGCCAGAGATGGTCTTCTTTGGTTTAGTAGATTATTCTGCTATTGAGGCATGTTGTTTTGGTTTGAACCTCTGTAGGTATTTAGCATGTCTCCATCACAGCAAAATATCCACCTAGAAATACCATGTCTAAAAACACAACACTTTTTGTTTTTCTCCTCCAGAAGTTCATGTCTAGATTTTGTAATTATATAAATATATTTTTAAAATTACTTGTGTTTGTAGTAGGTGTAACGTGACCTTTCTGAATTTCTTACAGACACGAGCAGAGCAGTCCCAAGGTGCATACTTCTTGCCTGAGTTTGCACTTTCTCCACAGGGGAGTTTTCTTGAGGATACCACGGGGGAACAGTTCCTCACCTACCGTTATGATGACCAGGTTAGTGTGCCATGTGTGAAAATTACAGAGATTGATTGGTTCATGTAAGTCTGAGATAAAGATTACTGTGAAACAGATTAAGATAGAGAATGTGTGTTATCTTTTGAAGGCACATGAAATTTATGACAACACACTATGCAAAATCCAAATTAAGGCACTTATTTGCGTAAATAATAAGTAAAACCACTTTTGGAAAATAATAACAGGATGTAGTGGAGACAAAAGCAGCAATTTTAGTGATGTGTTAATCTATGTTTACAGCTACATCTGGAAAATGTGTAGAATTTGAAGTGATTATCCTTTCTATGAATTATTTGACTTAACCCAATTTGTTTTATTTAATGTAAAAATCAGTGTTAGACAGATTTTGCATTTTCCAGCTTGTGAAAAGTCAGAATATTGTATTAGTTCATGAAGTTTTTGTAAGGGAAGGTTGGGTGAATTATAAAGAAACAAATGGGAAGTGTAATAGTGGATGGAACACTGTTTAGAAAGAAACAAATTTTTTTTTTCAAAGTTAAAAAATTTTAATGCTTTCTCCAGACCCATAGAAACACTATGTTAAACACGGAATATAGATATAAATGTAAAGAAAGCAACATGAAAGAAATGCTGTTAATCTTGGCAAAAGATCTGAAGTAAACCTAGGAAATGTGTGGCGTGCTGTGGAAATTTACTCATAACACAATGTGTTCCAGGAGTCAGTTGAATTTCACATCAAAACTGTCTGAATTACATTCATAGACACTTACAGTACATTTCTCAATGTAAAAGGAGGGAATTTGTTAGGAAACACTTCCTACAGAGGGAAGAGCCAAACTTTCCCTGCATCACAAGGTGATGGTGTCAGTGATGGGCTCCTTGCAGGAACTACTTGAACAAAATCGTTTGCTCATCACTATCCTAAAAGAGACAACTGAGGTGAGTGTGTTTAAGCTTTAAACTGACAATGTTTTTAGATAGACAAAAGGAAGCAGAAAAGCTACAATAGAAAGCATGCTGAGCCACTGTGAGCTATTTGAATTTAGTTTAAATGTTTACAATAATTCATACTTTTGCTTCCCTAGAGGGTCTTGATTATCAACAGAAAAGATTCTTGGATAAGACCTTCCTTGGACCAAACACCTGGGAAAGCAATAACTTATAGGACAGTAAAATGCAGCTGCAACTCAGGCTGCATTTAATGACAGTAGTTGAAAAACACTATAAAGGTTATACACTTTGATCAAAATAGTTTCCATTTAATGGAGCACGTTTTTGAGAAGATGATAAATCAAATATAACAGAGGCTTAGTCTGAATCTTTGACTAGACTGTTTGGACTATGTGAATAATATAGCTGATTAAAAAACAAACAAAATGAATCCCCTTGAAAAGCCCTCAAATACCAGCATAGCTCTATAAAGAAGCAAGTTCCAAGCCCAATTCCATTTGATGGAAAGAATTCCATTTGCTGGAAAGTTTTCCATTAATTCCATTGAGATCTGAATTGGATCTAGGATATGGCCAGCTTCTGTTCTTTCATAAATGTGATTTAGTTTTGAAGCCTTCTCTTCCCAGACACTTAGCAGTATGAAATTAAGTTTGAATTCCTGGAACTGGAAGTGGTGCTGAAACATCAAAATGTTGAAAGTAAAAGCAACTGTATTAGCAGAAGTTTCTTTTGAAAGAAAATTCAGTCCCTAAGCATTATTTATTAAAAGTTATGAATACATTGAATGCAGATGGGAATGGATCTATATCTCTAGCTTTACGTTCCTGCAAGTAAACCAGGATTTCTTTGGTGAATAGAAAGATTTTCTTTTATTTTCTAGGAAATTATTCATAGGTTTGTAATAACATACAGTTATACTTTTGCTGAAATGTTAATACAAAACTCAATTGTATCATGGTCCAACTGGGTCAGAAAACGAGATCTTTTTGTTTTCTGTGTTTTGGCATTTACTGGTATGAATGGATGGAAGTCTTAAAACCAGAGGGTGAGAATCCTTTATGAGGTAATCTCTTGAATTTTTATAAGATGGGATAGATATGTTTGATATATGATAAATGTGATAAGAATACACAGGTGAATAAAAAGAGAGTAATATATATACATTGAAAGTCCATTTTAACCTACCCAACACAGAAATTGAATCAGTAGTGGAAGGTTAGCACATAAATAAAGACTGCAGCAGCATCTTCTCACACATCTTAATTCCTTCATTTGGTCTTAGCAGTTCATTTTCTATCTTGTCCTACTGTGAAAGGCTGCTGGCCTTTGGGAAATACATTCCTTCCTTTTCCCTGATGTCCAGAATTGTCCTCTGGGCATCCCTACAGAGGCCTGGTGTTCCTGTACATCCCAAATTACACCTGAAAACTGAAGTAACCTTGTGCACTTGACTCCAGTAAAACAAGACATCAATCTGATCTGCTGTGCTGTGGAGGTGATTCCTCCTGTGTCCGTGGAAGGGAACAGAACAGATAAAAGGGGAGAGAGAGTTTTCCTGAGACTGTAGGATGGAGGTGGAGAAGAGGGTGGCTCACAGCCTCTGTTCTTTGGCTAACCAATCTTGAGACACTTGCAGGAAAACCATCTAACCCCATCTTCCCAAGTGTGCCCTTTTCCCCCTTGCACTGTTCCTTTTATGCAGGCCAGTAAAATTTCCTGGGATAGATGGATAATATTTTTATATAGCAGCATCATCATTGTCATGATCCAAGATTAGTTTCCTTACATCCTCCAAACACAGGAATGTTTCAAAGGGGTTTTCTTTGGCTGTTGTGTGTGATATTTTTCAAGCAGGGAGCCAGTTTAATCAGAATCATTCATTCCTTTGTTAGTAAGTAATCTCAGTAAAATAGAACTAGCTGTTACTTAAATATTCAAAAGTATTTGCTATCTGAAATGACAAGCTTACAGTTTGAAATGAAAGATGAGTAAATATTAATAGGAACACACTGTACTCTGCTCTAGCCCAGCAGAATTACACATGGATTCATGTTGTACATGCAAGATAGTACATTTTGTTCTGGTTTAATCTGGCAGGATTGTGCTCTCATTTTTGTACAGGACTGCACTAACCTCTTTGCATATTTTGTTGCTCTGTGTGTATTTAAGAATTACATGCAGATAAAATTCTTTGGCTAGGTATTTTAACAATTCAGAGAATATATTTTCTACCATTTATATGACTACAGAGGAAAATGCCTTTAAAGATCTGATTAAATACTGACACTGGTTCACTGGGGTGACATCTGCATAGAGTGGGACATTATAGTTTTGACACATTTATTGCTGTACCTTCAGGGAAAAACAGTGATTCAAAGCAAATACTTCTGAGGGATCCCAGAGGACAGAAATGTAGAAATATTCAAATTGACATTTTCTAAAGGCTTCTGTATTGTTCACCAAGTGATGTATTGTATCAATGCATTGCATCCTGCATTTCTAAATTCTACTGAGTCAATGCAATTTAAACCTAACTTGGTACCAAATAGATTTTGATGCGTAGTCAAAGACTTCAACTGCTGTTGGAAATTTGAGATTAAAAAAAATATGCCCCGTCCTGTCATTCATGAAAATAATTAAATAACTGAATAAATATATGAAAATGAATGAAATTATTAAATAAATATGCAAGTAATAGCCCTTTCTCCAGCTTTGAGATACATGTTGAACCTTGCCATAAGGAATAGTTTCCTAGTATTCTTTCTGATTTCTTTTGGCTTTTCACCTTTTAATCTACTATAAGGAATTTTTTTCTTTTCCAAAATACTAGTAGTACTGGAAAGCTTTCTTGCAGAAATAAAATGTTCTTGTTTTCTGACACTTAAGGTATTGCTTCCAAGTATTAAAACCATTCCATATGACGGACCACCAAGAAGGACAGCAGTGAAAGCTTGGTTGGGCTGAATGTGTTTGAAGTGCATTTCCACTTTGATTGGCTGGCTGGCTGAGAGTGCTCTTGGGGGTGTGGGTAAAGAAGGGGAAAGAAAAAGGAAAATAAGTTTGTCTTTCAAGTGAGAAAATGTTTGCTTGACCAGTTAGCTTTCTAGTTGACCTTGCTTCTTCTAAATTTTATGATGTTTACCAGTTTAAACTCACAACAAGGATAGGCTGATTCTGGAATTAGATATATGGCTCTAAGTAGTCCAATCTTGGCAAAGAAATCTATTGTTTCTAAACAAATATTAATTAAAATCTGCACTATCAGACTTGTGAGTGTTCAGCTATGCGAGGGAAGGTAGAAACTGGTCAGTCTGTTTTCACCTAGATGTGCAAGTTGTAATACCCAGGCTGCAGCTGCTACAGTTCATTTAGTAATTAGTTTAATAACTAATTTAATTCTTTCTTTGGGCTTGCTAGAAAAGTGCCTTGTTATGAAGTGAATGCCAAAATTGGGAAAATAAATATTCTTATTTAAGACTTGTTTTCCACAAATAGAAATTGTCTGTCCTGGCTTCTGTTTTTTCAGGGCGAAAAGGAGCATGGCATTTAAAGTCTTAATTTGAAAAAAGGCAGTGGAGCCCAGGATTTGAATTACTTCAAAAATTAATATTGAAATAAACTGATGGAACCTATTACTCCACCTTTTTATTTGCACTCTGGCAGCAATATCTGTTTGTGTTTGTTCTGTAAGTTTTTCATATTACACCAGGGAAACTCTTGTGTGGACAGAAGTTGTCTCATGGGTCCTGCTGGGCTCTCAGCCATTTTCCTCCATTTCCTTCATCTTTCCCCATTCCACCTGCTGCTGGTTGCCATCCTCTGTGCCTCTGGAATGGTACCTGAGTCACAGCCTGGCTTTGGGTGTCAGCTGCTTCTGCTGCTGCTCTGAGCCTTTTTATTCCTCTGCCGGGCAGTTTGCAACTAAATCGCCAGAGAAATGGAGCCACACGTTTTCAGGCTTGGAGATGAGTCATGTAAGGGACATTACTGCAAATTAACACATCAGTGAAGACAGGCTCTAATCCCGGGAAGGGAGCAAGATTTGTAGTTTGTGGCTCACTTGCTACCCATGCACAGAAAGCTTAGGTACTCTCGATTTGAGAAGGAGCCTGAAACTTGTGTTATTCTCTGACAAGCCATTTTTGTTGATACCCTGAAAAAGCTTTCAGAATTATTAAAAAGACTTAAACCTCAGTGTCTAGCTCTTCATTTAGAGATTCTTTTTTTGAACAAACAAACTGTTTTCAAGTGGCCACAAACTATTTCAGGCATTCTTCTACAATGAAAACATTCCACGATGGAACACTTGGTGGTTTCATTTGTGTATTTGGAGAATGAACCGATAAACTTCATTTTATCCAAGCACCAGAACTGTGGCCACTAATACGTGGCTGTGGGAATTTCAGCACTGTTAGAAATACTCCTTTTCTGCTATGTAGAGGTCTGGCCTTGCAGTCCTCACTCAGCCAGTCTGCTGATACTAGAATAACACTGATTGCACTGACTTGAGTCCTGCAAGTCGTTCCATTCTCTTAGCTGGGATATCTTGTGTAAGTAACAAATCAAATTACTAGGTCAGGTTTGTGCTACTCCATACTAATCCTACAGGTGCCCGTAATGAGTTTTAAATCATATTTAAGAAGTTTACAGCCATATGTTTGTAAGGCTCTGTGAAGATAAAAAGCATCATTTGGTGTTTCTTTGAAGGCGTTCCCTGATATTTTCAATTATATTCATTTTTTTACAAATACCTTTTTTTTTTTTCTTCACAAGTTTAATTTTGGTCTCTATTTTTAAGGGTGTGTTTTTATTTTTTTATTTTTAAATTTTTTTGTAAGGAAGTTAGCTCTGTAATCAAGTGAAATGTGTTTCTGATTTGGAGTGGAAAGGAGGCAAGGATTAAGAGAAAATGAAAACCACTTACGATTTCAGGCACAACTACTCTTAGAGAGACTGGTACTGCATAAGTCAGGCATGATCCTATTCAAACAATACTTTTGTTTAGGCTAATTGCTGGCTGGAAGTGTGTGAGCAGCATATGCACGAGTAATTATATCATTACTTGTGTGTGATAGGTCACTTAGTGAACTGAAAACTGTTTTTAAATACTTTTGCTTATTGGCAAACTGAATGGGGAGCTGGCACTTTTTAAAGCACCAACTACCATTTTCAGTTCAGGGTTTTATTGTTCAGAGAAAATAGTGGAGCTGCTGTTTGCAGTCCATGTTTCTTTGTGCACTAAGAATTACAGACTTTCTTCGTTTCTATTACAGCCTCAGTCCCAGCCCTGCCAAAGGTCTCTGTGTGTAAATCATACTTCCAGAAGCCAGTAGGTGTTCACCTTGTGCAGTATAACAGCCTTCACAGGGAATCTGTAATAGTACAGCTTCTGCAGAAAACACATTTTATATCATTTCAGTTTGGATCAAATACATTCCAGGAGGCTGTAATCCTATTCCACCAAATTGTGTGGTGAAACTCCCTGGCCTGGGTCTGTAGCCCTTCTGTGGCTGTGATGATACTGACCTCAGCAGCTGCCACAGGATTCCCAGGTAGCAGAAGTGACCCCTTATTTGCAAGGTCATCCCCCAGAATGATTTCCCAAGGAAGAAAGGAGAATGGACCAAAAGTTTTAGTTTTTTCTCTTACTCCTGCTCCCCTGGGTGATGGACAGATACTGAGGCTGCTCTGGTGGAAGATAAAAGACTATGCAGGTTCTCTTCCTTATTTTCTTAGACATATTTTTAGGGTCATAAATTGGTGTTTATTCAGTTTGAGGTTGAGCTATATAGAAAAACCCACTTTAATACACTAAGTACCTTCCTTTTCTAGCCTCTCTACCATGCACATTTTTCATAAAAGGTGGAAAATTTTGAACTCACATTCAGTGTTTCATGTTCCAATGTTTACAGTTCTGTTTTCCCAAATACATTTTTCAGATTCTAGCAATAAATTAAAAGGGGTTTTTTTTGTTTGTTTGTTTTTGTTTATTTTTAACCTTTTATTCTCCAAGGAGCAGACAGAAGGATGTGTACTTGGGTAAATATTCTACTGTAAATTCTTTAACTCAGTTCTGCAACACTGGACTAATAACAAGACACCTGATGAAATGAGTGAACATTATACAGACTAAGTGCTCATTTGATATTCTTTAGAGAAGCCCAACGATTAAATCATGAGAGATTGATACAATGCAATGTGAATTTCCCACTGACCTCATCATGCCCCTAGTGAATCTCCAGAAGTTGGCACGTGTTCTTATCCAAGAATTTTGACATTGATAAAGACTTAGGTTCACCCTTCTAAATTAAGACTGAAAGGTCTGGAGGTAACAGAAATAATCCTGTGCTTACATAGCCCTGATGTAGTGCTGCTATCATCTATCAATAAGAGTTCATTGAGATACAGTAGAGAAGTGCTTCTAAATCAAAAAGATGTATTTCAAGTACTGTGGGAAATGCAGTGCTTGGAACTGGAATGTCATTCTTCAGATATACATGGATGAGAGGATGCTTTAGGCTGATAAAGCCTAATGGTGCATTAATCCTTTACTTATACAGCAAAAACATTTTGAAACTGTTTTTTCTCTGGTCTTAAACAAGAAAAGAGGAGATTGTATTTAGGTTTTTGATAATTCAGCTAAATTTATTGAACTTCTTGAGCTGTTTAAGCTCCTGTTAAATTTTGCACAAATGAGAAGATAAAATTGTATTGCTGATTTTTTCATGAAGTGTGAATGTGATCAATATGTATTCTTTTTTCTTTCTGTGCCATTTCTGCCACAGATAACATTTAAATCCCTATCAGAGTTTATAGCAGCTTCTTCCTTTTAACATGGAAAGCCTTAGCAAAAAAAAGATAAAGATTTCAGTTTATACTGTCCCTAGAATAATGATTAGGAAAATGCTTGTTTGATAAAATTATTTATCCTGTGTTAAGGTGTTTCTGGTAGAATTACATTGTTTTGCAAGGCAGTGGGTAATTTAAATAGGATTTATATATTGAGCATGTGGATAATATCCCTCATATCCTTAACAGGCATCCTTTCAGGCCTTTTCAGTGTAGAGAAATTATTAATAGGAGAGACTGAATGTCACAATGACCCTCTTAGTAGAGATGTACTCGAACATGAATTTCTTCCAATTTCTATGCCACTAATATAAAGGATGAAGTGAAATTTTTTTTAAGAATCTGCATCTTTTGCCTTTGTTTCTATAAATAGTTAAAAGGGTTCCTTATGTCATTAATACTTGCATAATGAACCAGGCTTGGGACAGCTAAAGAACAACCTCTCTACAATTCCAATTGTTCTATACTGTCTCAAAATAACTGTCAGCATTGCCAGTTAAACCTAACTTATTAAACTACTATTAGACTTCAAATGCTGTTTGCTTATGTGGGAGAAAATGACAATACATTAATTATCAACTTTGGCAATAACAGGAAAAATGGTAAATGCAGGTTCATTGACAGGATCACCACTGACAACTGTATTTTTTATTGGCAGAGCTTAGAATGTGTTGCAGGTTGTGGTACTGTAGGATCCAAGGATTTTAATTCTCCTGATGTGAAACACCCAGTGCTATGTTGTGTCTGGTGTAGGTGTAGCTTCCCGCCAGCATTTTTGCTGAGCTTTGGCTTGGAGGCTTAGGGGTACAGAGGGTGTCCATGACATTCAGAAATAGAAGTGAGAGAGTTTGCATAAAAAAAAAAAAGTATATGGAATTTGTTACTCATTTTTTCATGGTATGGAAGCTCTGATTTTCTTCTCTTTCAGATAAAGCAGTTGCTTTATTGTTTGGACCATAATCTATTGCTATTTACCAATACCTTTAAACCATTTCCTCCAAGAAAGCACTGAGACTTTGGGTGCTACTTCAGGCATGCAGGATGTCCTGTGAGTGTCAATGGATTTTTTTGCATATCTGAAACTGTTTACAGGAATAAATGCTTGCATGTGATTTGAAGCAATAGTTGAGGGTGTTCAGTGCTTGGCTGAGTGTTTAGCATGGTCTTTGGTAAAGGATAATGCTGGATTTGAGCATTAGCCTAAAGTACTATAATGCATTTGACACAAATTGTAGGTTCCACGTTTTTTGGTGATTGGTAAATCAAACATTCCTTTTTATTCTCTGTTTTTCCCCCCCCACTTTCCTATAGACAGGCAACTGTTATGCTGATTCTTGGTCTGCAAAGAAAGGCAGTCAGAAAGGCAGACCTCTGAGAACTGGAAACAATCTGGACTTTTTAAATACTCTTAAGACTATAAAACCTGACCTCTTTCCACTTGAGCCTATGTAATCTAGCTTTATAAAATTATCTCATTGGTAGTAAATTTTTTTGTTTGTTTGTGTTATAATGCCATAAGATATTTTTGTTCTTTGATGGCATAAGCCTTTATTCATTTAACATTTTTATGTTGCATGAGAGAAAAAGGACTTATAAAATGGTACCGAACATTTAACTGGTTTACAGAATCGTGAAGCAGACTAGAATATTTGCACATGGGTGAGAAAAATTAGTAGTAATTGGCTGCTGTATGATGTGGGATGTTTTTGTAGTTTTTAAAATAGCCCTTGGGAGATGGTTGCAATTGTAAATACAAGATATGTTCTCCTTTACCTGATTATTTAGGCTTTGGTCCAAAAATCATAGTAATTTCAATAGACTTTGGATCAGCCCTTCTTTTTTTTTTTTACTGCAAAAAGAGATTTGCCATTGATTTCAGGCAAGTTGCATTCAGGTACCCCAAAAGAAATACTACAGACCAGGGAACTACTGGAAAATGGGATAGATTCTGCAAAGCACCAGCATCATTCCAGCCTCAGTTCTCTGCAGACAGATAAGTTCAGTAGTGTGTGTTTGTTTCTTTCAAATCTCGTGTCCAAGTGATGTGTGAAGACTTGTACAGTAAACTTTATTTTACCCAGCTTCCAGTTTTGGTCAAGATCACAGAATTTTCTATGACTTATACAAGCAAACCTATTTACATACCATGAATGCTGAAATGAATCCCATGTTCAAAATATTTGATCTGTTTCAGCAATTATGTTGTACTCAAATCACCTAAAAAAATGTTGACAAAATGTAGTTTACTACTCCATTCTCATGCATAAGTGCTAAAAATACACATATATCTTGATACGTGTACCACATAAGTCAGTGATCTTCCTTTGTCTAAGTAATATGGTTGTAAAAGGTATAAATCTGAAGAAACAAGCTGTGGTCTTTCAGGCAGCTCACACAATGTCTTACAATATCAACAAAACATATGGCAAAATACCTTTTTTTTAACTGTTTATTAAAAAAAGACTCAGAATGCATCAGCTTTGCTTGAAAGAAAACTAGTGCATTGGCTTGAATGTTTTTTGATA